CCCACACATCTCAATGAATTGGAATGAACTTCACGATTAAAGTTTCATGAGATGCCACATCAAACATTCTCTAAACCTCAAGGTCTAACACTTCGACAGCACTTGCTTTTGTCTTCTCATCCTCCAGTGTTATCACGGAAAAAGCACGCAGGTGCATCTTGCAGGATAGGATTTTTTTCCCTTGGACACCCCCACTGCGGATTCCTCATAAAGCTGTTATCTCCTCGGTGTTGAGCAGCTTGCTTTCAGCCTCAGCTCCCCACCTGACAGGTGACCAGCTGGCTGTGCACATAATATATGCCTTTTACGTTGGTAATAAATCTGGTGGCTGTACACCTGCCAGCCTGCCCGTGGCTCCGGTCACCTGCATGTTCGTGCTGCTGGGCCCAGGCAGGCACTTCTCCAGCAACCTCTCATCCGTGCACAGTCAATGACCTCCTCATACAGCCATGTGCTCTCAGACCCATAAGAACAACTTTGCTGTGAATCTGACCTGTGTGGGTTCACATGTTACACAGCAGAGCAACAGACCTGTTTTCTTTTGAAAATAATAATAAAGGGCTCCCTGCCTAGAATCTGCAAGGATTTCTACCAGTCAAATACATCTGCATGTTACCAACATTAAGTGAGTATTCCTTGAGGCTCCCCAAACAATTCAGTATGGAATGAGTTAACAGCCATGACTCCAAATCTTATAACACTAATGGAATCCTCCAGAAAAGATCAGAGAAATCTTAGAATCCACTTCAAGAATGCTTCATATTGGTGTCCTCTTGGCTCATTTTTTTTAAAGAAGCTCATCATATTCCCCAGAAGGGAGAAATTAATATAAAGGCAGGTCCCTAGGTTTGCAAGTTGGTTATAGCCTTCCTGAAAGGAATCTGTGGTGTGCAGAGAAGAAATGAGGTCTGCAGCACTGAGGCAAGAATGCAGTTTCAAAGCTTACAAAGGAAGGGCTGTTGACCAGCAAATCCATTCTTTCCCATTTGGGGATCCAGGAATCTCAAAGCCAAAAATGCCTACTATCTTTTGTCTAAGTTTTCTGTTCTTCCTATCCTTAAATCGTAACAAGACCAAAAATTGCACTTTTTCTAAAATTTCACTATTTCAAACAGAAAGCATTTGGCTATGCCCTTTGCATCCTCCTATGCATTGTCTTTCTCTCAATGTCCCCTACACACACACACACACACACACACACACACACACACACACATCCCTGCTGTTTCATTGTCATATATAACTGCACTGTCCTGTATGGTAGCCAATAGACACATGTAGTTCTTCAGTTGAAATTTAAGTTTAAATTAAATACAATTTAAAATTCAGTTATTTGACCACACTAGCCATATTTTAGTAGCCACATGTGACTAGTTGCTACCACATTTAACAGCACTGATAGAGAACATTCCCGTCATTGCAGAAAGTTGAATTAGCCAATATTGATGAATACGGTACATATCATATGAGAAATAGTCAGGAAATGCATGTTAACTGGCTAAATGAATGAAATGTGTACTATGGTTTTTTCAATATACATTTTCCTTGCTTTTATTCAACTTTTCTAAAAATTACTTATTTAGGAGTAAATGACATTAAATTTTTTCACCGCACACCATATACTTACAAAGCTATCTTATTTGGCATATATTTCAATATAAATCTAACTTAGTTACTTCTTTCTAATCCAGTGAGGAAGTTTGATAGATTTGTCTATGTATATAATTCAAATTTCTATGAGGTAAAAATCAATAAAAAAATGTAAAAACTCAACAAACATGTGGTTACTTTTAACATATGTGACTAGTAAGGGATTAAAATCCATAATACATAAAAATGTTAAAATCAATTTGGTGATGCCTGGGTGGTTCAGTTAGTTAAGTGTCTGACTTCAGGTCAGGTCATGATCTCATGGTTCTGGGTTTGTCAGCTCTGCTGACAGCTCAGAGCCTGGAGCCTGCTTCAGATTCTGTGTTTCCCTCTCTCTCTGCTGCTCCCCTGATTGCACTCTGTCCCTTTCTCTCTGAAAAATAAACATTAAAAAAATTTTTTAATCAATTTGAAAAATGTTCCAATAAAAAATGGACGAAAGAACAGCCAACTCACAAAAGACTACCAACAGTCATTTTACTTATTAAAAATTAACCTTACTATGAATCAAAGAAAGGCAATCAAACAACAATAAGAGATGTTCACCTATCAGTCTGATAAAGATTAAAAAGTACTCTCATAATCAGAACTGGCAGGAATGTGGGGAATAGGCGCATCAGATCTCCATATTCTGAATGGTAAACTGATATGGCCTTTGGGAAGGGCACCCCAGCAGTTTCAACCAAAATTTCAAATACACATATATCTTTATCAGCAATTCCATTTCTACTCCATACTCAGCAGTACTCAGACAAATGCACAGAGATTTATGCAGCTGGAGGTTTAGTAGAGCATTGTTTATAGGAGTGAAAAATAGATACATCTAAAAGTCTGCTGGGGCACCCAGTTGGCTCAGTTGTTTGAGTGCCTGGATCTTGAGTTCTACTCAGGTCATGATCCCTGGATTGTGGGATCAAGCCCCATGTGGGGCTCTGTGCTGAACATGGAGCCTACTTGAGCGTCTTGCTCTTTCCCTCTGTCCCTCTCCCCTGCTCTTGCTCTCTCTCTCTCAAATAAGTAAGTAAATAAGTAACTAAATGTATGCTAACAGATTATATACATGCAATGGAATACAGTGTTATTAGATTTTTAAAGCAGTTTTCTATTACTAAAGTAATATTGATAAGTCAAAAAACAAGATGCAAAATATTATATATATATTATCACTAATATAGATGTATACACACAGAACTATATAAATAGCCCACTTATTGAGGGCTATCTCTGTGTCCATCTCTGTTCTAACTAGTTTATACATTACTATATATCATCTTCACATAAACCTATGACATAGGTACTGTTATTATTTACTTGTACAGATAAGGGCACTGATGGAGAAAACTTTCGCATAAAATCACTTAGCTAATAAATGGCAGAATCAGGATGTGAATCCAGGGACACTAGCCTCAGAGTCTTACCACTTACTACTGCCAAGTACTGTGTTGGGAGGCATTGGGGAAGATACAGATAACCATTTACAGAGACAGAGACATAAAGAGACTGATTCCAAATTTTTACACTTGGTTACACCTAGTAAGTGTAATTAGGGTTAGAGGTGGTTGGATGAGGAGAAATAGAAAAGAGAGTTAACAAAAAAGAAAATTTGTCCTTATTACAACTTTATAATGTTTAAATTTTATAATAACCATGATCACACAATAAAAAATTAAAATCTAGAAACACATATTCTATCTGATTTTCTCTTAAGGGCTTAGACATACTGCTTTTTACTTTAAAAATGGAAAGAGGGCCAATGTGATTCATGGACAGCTTGGAAACTTGACACACATCAGTGATCTGGAGAGAGATCCCAAGTGTCTTGGCAACTACCAAGGCTGAGTAGAGTCCTCTGGTTTAAGAGATGTGCAACCCTCAAGAAAACACACACTGACCAAGAACGACACTCCAGCCGACTGCCTGAATTGCAAGCCCACCTCTGCCAGATGCAGGTTATCTTTGTCCTTGGGTCATAACTTGGACACACTAAGCTTTGGTGTCCTCACCTGAATAAAAGCAGCAATGATTGGTCCTCCCTCGTAGGCTTGTGAGTATAGAATAAGGTCTGAGGGAAGCACTTTGGGTGAAGCCTCATGTACTGCTGGACTCACCCAGCATTGGCCACCATGGTCATTGCTCCCACACTGAACTCTCACCGCCCCCTCCCCGTTGGAGTTTGAAAATGAGACCGCAAGTTGATCAAGTCGTCTGAAGCAGCCCAAAGGCAAGGAGAACTGACGAAGCACACTCAATAAGGGGTGTGACTATACTTGAGAGACTATGGCCAAGTAACTATTGATGAAAAATATTAATAAGGCCTAAAGAAACACCTCTTAAAGGGCTACAGGCATTTAAGTTCTGGAAGTCCAATCTGTGTCCATCAGCTCTCAGAATACATTAACAATTTTGCTCAGAAAGTTGGTATCTACCATCACTCTATTTACTAAGGACGAAAAGTTCCCAATAACCCTATAAATGCTTCTCATTTCCAAAGCTCTTGCCCTCAGTTCATAGCTCTTGCCTGTCACTTACAACCAAAGAACATGTGTTCAGCAAGTGCTCACGGCAAATCCCATTTAAAAAATCATTTTTTTTCTTTTTGAGAGAGGGAACGCATGCATGCATGTGAGTGTGAGTGGAGAAGGGACAGAGAGAGAGGGAGAGACAGAATATTAAGCAGGCTCCACACATAGTGCAAAGCCCAACTCAGAACTCAATCTCATAACCGTAAGATCGTGACTTGAGCCAAAATCAAGAGTCTAATGCATGACCAACTATGCCACCCAGATGGCCCTAAAAAACTTTTTTTTCTTCTAAAAAACCTTTTTAACAAACAAAATAAAAATACTAGAAACTTCTTTCAAAGACAAGGGTCCAGAAGGTGCCCATCCAAGATTTAACTGCCATATGATTGAAATGATAATTTTGAGAACAATTATGTAAACAAACTATACCCTCCACCCCAAAGTCCATCCTGCTCCACATGACTTCTGTATGGGGACACAGATATTTCCACAGACACACATATTCACACATGCACACATACACATACATGTACACACACACACATGCATACATGGAGCTTGTCTCCCACATTTTCAAAGATTGTTTTGAAACATAAGGCACAGCCAGGTTAAGAAAACATGCTTGAGGCTATGTTCTGTGTGTTCATTAAACTATAAAGCATCTTAAACCTACAATTAATTCTAAGTAAATTAAAGACATGACACAGCCATGGCACTATTGCAAGAATATTTGTGCTAATAACTGACATTTTTTACACTAAATCACCCTGCTGAAGGCTTAACAGCCATTCACATATATAACTGCTTTCTAGATTTTTTTTCTCCTACCTCAGTTGTCAAAGCATTAACGAAGCTGGCTTTTGGGAAGAATTCCAATTCAGAGTTATTTTTCCATGAGGTACTTAAGACTCCACACAGCAGCTCGTGATTATGTTGGCAGTGGCTTTGCATAACTGTTGGTTTCCTGTAGTATAAATAAGTGAACAGCTAAGAATGCCAATGTTTTGCTCTGACCAAGAAAAAGCTCACAATAAATGACAAGAAATTGCCCTCATTGGACTACTTAAGTTTTTGGATTTTTCTCTTTTAAGGGGTAAGTTAAACCAAAGCAATAGAGCTAAATGATCATATAATACATGCTACCAGTCTGAGATCATCCTTCAAATTAAAATATATTGTTTAATTCCCCAAGTCTTTTTTAGTTGATGAATTCAGCTGGACAAAGGCCACGCGGGTCGCTGATCAACACCAATGCAGATAGTGTGCATTTTTTGCTAAAGGCAGTGCAGAGAAAGCCAGAGCCTTTGCCCTTCTGAGATTTAGACTGAGAAGAACGAACAAGAAGCCTGGGCCAGGAGAGAGTATAGATCAGAGGGTCCACAAGGGAATTTGCAGAGAAGATAGCTTCGCAAGGAGGGAATGTGCAAATGAAACTCTGAGAACTGCTCCTGAGAAAAAGAGCTGTCCTGGTCCAGAGCAGTACGAGAACTCTGGGGTGAGATATCAAGGACCTTGAAAGAGTGTATGCCTTCTGCTTCTCCACATCCTCCAAAATATCTAGCACTAAATGTTCCCCAACCAATGTCTGTTCTCCACACTCTCCCACACCCACAATCATCCCGCTGTATTGAACAAAAGGCCAGGTAAATGCCTTCCCCAAGTGCCTTGCTGTCGTTAACTATCGTTCCACCTTATCTCTTCCCCTGACCTTCATCCCCCTACCCTCATTTCAGCTGCGGTACCTCTTTCCTCTGGGACAATCTGACTACACACTCATGTGTCTCACATGGCTGCTTTTCTGCTGTTCGGCAGTTTTTACTTGTCTGTCTTCCCCTCTAGAAAAGGAGTTTCGCCAGCAGAAGACCATGACTTCCAAGACTTTTATCCTTAGAGCCCAGCCTAGTGCTGGCACAGAGTGGAATCCTGAGCAATATTTTTTGAAAGAACAAATTAATTCATGAAGTTTGTGTTTTCCACAATTGGAATTGCCCTTATTACGTGTTGCCTGGCAAAGTAATAGTAACACATGCTGCATTAAGCAAATCCTTTTAACTTATTATTTAAATATATTTAAATCACTGAGATAACATAGTGACTAACCAGATAATACCTGTTGATAACATATACTATATATAACATATATGATATAATTATATATAATTAATAATATTACATACAACTGGGGCACCTGGGTGGCTCAATCGGTTGAATGTCCAACTTTGGCCCAGGTCATGATCTCATGGTTCATGGGTTTGAGCCCCGCGTCGGGCTCTGTGCTGACAGCTCAGAGCCTGGAGCCTGTTTCAGATTCTGTGTCTCCCTCTTTCTCTGACCCTCCCCTGCTCATGCTGTCTCTATCTCTCTCTTAAAAATAAATAAAACATTTAAAAAATATTATATACAACCTCATGTTATAATATAAAAAGGCATTATATTATATATAACATTATTTATTTATATGTAGGTATAGGTTCACAAAAACACGTTTTGCAATGAATGATAGCATAAGTCACCTCTACCTGACGTTGCAAGACTGCTTGAACAACCACTGTTCTTTTTACCAAGATAATCATTTTTAATTTTGTTTTATAATGGACATCAGTCATACCCAAAAGTAGAGAGAATACAGTATAATAAACCACATGTACTCATTACTCAACAGTGCTCAACTCAGAACGAGTCCTATTATATCTCTGCCCTCAGCTAACTCTCTGCCCTGTGTCACATTAAAACAAATATCAGACATCATATCATCTATAAATATTTCAGTAAGTATCTCTAAAGGATTCTTTTAAAAATACAGTATCAAATCACACCTAAAAGCTTACTCATTCTTTAATATCAAATATTTAGTCAGCATTCAAATTTCTAATTGAAACATATAGCTTGTTTAGGGAATCAAAATGGAGATAAGATCCATACATTATGCCTGGTTGATACATTTCTAAGCATTCTTTCAATTCATAGTTTCCTCTTTTCATCTTCTCTTTCTGACAATTTATTTGTTGAAGAAACAAGCTCATTTATCTTGTAGAGCTTCCCAGTCTGGATGTTGCCATCTTCGTTCTGTAACGTCTCCTGGTGTCATCCTCTGCCTTCTGCATTTCCTATAAATTAGCAGCTGCATCTAGAGGTGTGTTCAGATTCGAGTTTCATCCATTGGCAAAACTACCTCAAAGGTGGTGGTGTATTCTTTGGTCAGGAGGCACACCATGTGTGGTTTCCTCTTTTCTTGTGATGGTAGCACCCACTCAGTCTCAATGCCAAGACCCACTCCTTGATTAGAAGTTCTGTCATGGTGTTATTCCAGTGTTATCATCCCTTCTTCACTTATTAGCTGGATACTTCTATAAATATAAATTTCCCATTATCTACTCTTTGGTTACTCAGTGGCACAGTTTGTATAGGAAAGACAAAATTAATATTTGATTCTTTCTCTTTAGTGTTCATAATAATGAGTTCATTCCCTAGCATCCCTTAATAGTGAGCAGTTAGGGCTTTTTCCCCCCCTGATGTCTTTTTGACTTCATGAATTTATTTGCATTTGATAAATATCCATCCGTTCAAGTTAATTTCTTTATTTGATCCTCAAATTGTTTCATCTTTGACCAATGGAGCCTGGATAAAGTTGGCTCTTGAGTCCTTTTGCTATGATCCTAGTAACCCAAGACAGTTACGTTAAGACAAATTAGAACAGTCACAGAATAAAGAGAACTTCCATGCAGATGAGCACCTCTTTTTTCTCCCAGAAAATTTTCTCTCATAAAATGCCATGCTACTCACTGAAGTGCTCCTGATTCAGAGAGCTCCCTGAGAAATGCTACAGGAAAAGACTGGAACCCAACTGCTAGAGCCAGGTCCTTTTACCTTGCAGATTGTTGTCAAGCACTCAGGAAATATGAGAGTGTTTTCTTAACTATGCACTTTACATTATTGTTTTCTTGAGACTACAAAGCTGCATTTGTCTTGATCATTAGTTTGCAAGAGTATATAATTGTTGTAGTCAATTTCACAATGATTCTTGCTGAAGTAAAAATAAATATAACGTAGATAATGCCCAAATTCCAACTGGCAAATGGGATTAGTCAAGATGATCCTATGGGCCTGACTTTTCTTTACTTCTGTCCATCTAGCAGTGGGTAATAATCCCATCCTGGGGGAATAGCCCAGACCTCAAGGGCTCAATGATGAGAGAGTCACGAAAGGAGAAGGAAGGCACCAGGCCACCACTGTTGACTGTGCAATATCCATTCCCAAAAAATGTTTACAAATCATGGAGAGAAATTTGCCTTGGATAACTTAGGATAGATTATAATTTACCATAACACAGTGGGTATATCAATTCTTCTTCCAACTAGTGTAGGACTCATGTTGTCTAACCAGTAAAGCAAAAAGCACAAACACAGGCATATCTTGGAGATATAATGTGTTCAGTTCCAGACTACCAAAACAAAGCAAGTATCACAATAAAGCAAGTCAAAGGGGGGCACCTGGGTGGCTCAGTTACTTACATGTCAGACTCTTGGTGTCAGCTCAGGTCAATGTCTCGCAGTCATGAGACTGAGCCCTGCATAGGGCTCTGCTCTGTGCATGGAGCCTGCTTAAGATTCTCTCTCTCCCTCTCTCTCTCTCTGTACCTCTCCTGCTTACTTGCACTCTCTCCCCACTCCCCAAAAAAGCCAGTCAAATGAATGTTTTCCCAGTGCATATAAAAGTTATGTTTCTACTACACTATAGTTTAGTAAGTGTGTAATAGCATTGTCTCTAAAAAAGCATATACTTAACTCAAAAATACTTTATTGCTGAAAAACACTAACCATCATCTGATATTTCAATGAGTCATTACCTTTGTGTTCATGGAGGGTCTTTCCTCAGTGTTGACACCTGCTGACTGATCAGGGTGATGTTTGTTGAAGGCTGGGTGGCTGTGGTAATTTCTTAAAATAAGACAACAATGAGGTTTGTCACATCAATGACTCTTCCTCTCACGAATAATTTCACTCTGATGTTGTCTGATGTCATTTTACCCATAGTAGAACTTCTTTCAAAATTGGAAGAAGTCTTGTAAAACCCTGCTGCTGATCAACTAATTTTATAGAGTATTTAAAAATTCTACATATATATCATTTGTTGTCATTTCAAAAATCTTCACAGCATAGGAGATGATTACATCTCAAAAAAATACTTTCTTTGCTCAGCCATAAGAAGCAACTCCTCACCTGCTCACGTTTGATCAAGAAACTGCAGGAATTCGTCACACCTCCAGGCTCCACTTCTGTTTCTATTCTCTTGTTATTTCCACTCACGTCTGCAGTGACTTTCTCCACTGAAGTCCTGAACCCCTCAAAGTCATTCATGAGAGTTAAGAGACAACCTCTTCTGAACTGCTCTGAATGTTGAATTCTGAACCCCTCTCATGAATCATGAATATTCTTAATGGCATCTAGGACAGTGAATATTTTCCCGAAGGCTTTCAATATACTTTGCCCAGATCCATCAGAGGGACAGCTATCTATGGCAGCTATAACTTTATGAAATCCATTTCTTCAATAAGACTTGAAAGTAGAAATATCTCCTTGATCCATATGCCACAGAATGGATGTTGTGTTAGCAAGCCTGAAAACTATTAATCTTGTTGTACATTTCCATCAGAGCTCTTGGGTAACCAGGCACATTGTCATGAGCATTAACACTTGAAAAGATTTTTTTTTCCTGAGTAATAGGTCTCAATAGTGAGCTTAAAATATTTAGTAAACCATATTGTAAACAAATGTGCTGTCATCCAGGGTTTATTGTTCTATTTATAGAACATAAGCAGAGTAGATTTAACATAATTCTTAAAGGCCCTAGGATTTTCATCATGGAGCATTGGCTTCAACTTACACCAATTGCATTAGGCCCTAACATGAGAAGCAGTCTGTCTCTTGAAGCTTTAAAGGCAGCCATTGACTTCTCTTCTCCAGC